TTTTTTTTATTAAACGCCTCTGTGGGAACTAAAATACCCAATTTTATTATCGGCAACCACAACCACTGCAAATGCTTGCATATTTTCAGTCATCTCAATATTTACATTTAGGAGGAAAATAAATGCGCCACTCATGCTGTGTTTTTATTTTCATATTCTTGGAAAATAAAAAAAATATATATATATATATAAAAACATGTCTTTTGGATTATCTATAAAAAAAAGTTTACAAATTTAATGCAGATTAGAGCATAATTATTGCAGGAACATATGTAATCAATTAGACTATGATACTACTGTTAGAAAATATTAGAACTAATTTTCATGTAAAAACAATATGATAAAATATTTGTTTTTCTGTTTACATGGAACAATTGTTGATGTTTTTTTTTTTTTTCAAATGCTATTAAAGTTTTAGGGAATGTTCACGTCTCCAACATTTAAGTCTGCTTAGGGTTTAACTTAATGTGAGAGAGAGAATGATAATATTTTTTTTGAATGTTATCTGCTTTATTAAAAAATAAATATAAATAATTTTTAATGAACATAAATAATTTTTTTCTCTCTTATATATTTATTAAAAATCATACTTTTTTACAAAAAAAAATTTTATTTTATTAACTTACAAATTGTCATGTCTATTTATAATGAATATTGTAAATGTTTGTAATTTTATACAATTTACCCAAAACTCACTACTGAAATGCTAGTTGCCTTAGAGTTAATTTATCTACAGAGAAAGGTGAGAGAGTATGAAAGATGTCTTTGGCGTATCACCACATACAATATTATGTTAAGGTGGTTCTTTCACTTAATAAAAAGTGAACAAACCAGGAAAATAGTTGGCCTTCAAAAAATATTAGTTTAACATAGTAATAAGTATTACCTATTAGGACATTCACTTTGGATGATTCGACCATCTCATGTGCGTAGGTCCAAACACTAAATAAGTTCAAATAGAACCGACATTTCTTCCTCATGCATGATGGGCATTTTTTTTCATTTCATATCGATTTCTTTGTAATTAGCTGCACGATTGGCAAGCATACTGAAAAATGATAGTAACATTTCTTGCCATATTTTTTATTTATTTAAAAAGAGGTAACTAATATGTATTAATACTTAATCATTATTTTTTAATATTAGTTATTATCATTAAACTCTTCTGAAATCATGCATATGTTGCCATCTTCTCCCCTTCTTATTTCCTATTCTATTGGGATTGGATTCGGCAATGTTACTTTGCTTACCATTTCCATTTTGCCCTTGTTTCTTTCGCTTTGTTTTCCAAGTAATTTATATATTTCCCTTTGCAAAAAGAAAAAGTAAAATAAATGGGAAGTAAATCTTTCTACATGGAATATTATTTGGTACATATTTTTTATTTTTAAATTTTTCATGTATCATCAAATTTTGCTTAATTTCATTATTATATAAAGGCCTTAACATAATTTCGTATTTTTTAACCAAATATGTCTACTTATTTATCACAAGATTTAGTCACTCAAATATTGCAGAAATTGCCCGCCAAGTCTTAAACCAGATTCAGGTATGTGCGAAAATCATGGCCAGCTTTGATTTACAACCCCAATCACATCTCCAAGAGTCTTATTTTCAAATAACACAGTAGATAACAATTTTCAAGTTTCTATTAATCATTGTGACAGAGCACTAAGGCTTATGTTTACTCTCGTCTCTTACAATACAATAAAGATAGTGGGTAAAACCCAAGATTTACCTTTTCTTACGCCTCCTTAGGAGGTAGAAATCACTGTTTTTTGATATTGCAATGAAATAGTGTGTTTAGTGAATCCGCATCCCTTGAATTTTGAGCGATAAAATCTAAATAATTACAAAATTATGAAGGTTCTCCCTAAAACTAAAAGTTAGTATTAGTAGAGACCTTAAACTAGATGGATTTTGTATTAAACTATCATATTCTTTAAGTTCAGGTTGTCACGTATATGGCTAGAGAGTGACCAAGTGTGGCTAAGAAGTGGCCGTGTAATAATTTCTTTTAATTGTTAATAGAGAGAATATATTTTACTAACATCTAAATTATGAGATAGTGAGTTATAATATATATATATATATATAAAATCTGTAATAATTTCTTTTAATTGTTAATAGAGAGAATATATTTTACTAACATCTAAATTATGAGATAGTGAGTTACAATATATATATATATATATAAAATCTTAAAGAAAAAAACATTTAATTACGGAACGTTAAATTGAAATATGCCTAATTTCAACGTAGCTTTTTTTCCATGTAAGTAAAAACCTCCTTTTTTACTTACTTTTTTTTCAAATAGAACTAGTTAAATTATTTTTTATTATTATTTTATAGTCACGTAATCAATATGTAGTACTTAATTATTATCTACCACTTGTTAAAAATCTTTCAAAATTTATGAATACATTGGAACTAATTAGTCTACTAACTTAAGTAATAAATCAAGTCATAATTATACATAGAAGTCAGGATTACTATCCATTTACTTTGGGGATATGGGTAGGAGGGGTAAAGGATAGAAAGTAATTAAGAGAGAGATTACTGAGTTTTAAGAACATAAAAATCCTTGCGGAACCTTCTTACCACATGCATTGACAAGCAAAGTAAGGGCAACAGGTATTTTGAGGTTGATAACTCCCAACACATTAGCCTTAATGGCAGTGCATAAACAGACTGCTGCTTCAAGATCTGCCACACCTGCAATCAATCTACAACATTCGTCACTGGGTTTGGTCCCAACAACCTCATGAACCAGTCCCAACCAGCTCCCGCAAACCCCAAACTCAAGGGTATCTTTAGAGCACCTTCCCGTTTCCTTAGGGTCGAGGGAGGCAACCAAGGGCTCTGCCGAGGACGTAACGGATACTTGCGGCACTAAACACGTGAAAAATAAGACATTAAGCATTAGAAATATAGTTGTTGCCTTTGAAGAACTAATTAATGCCATTACTAACTGTAATTGGTTGTCTCTCAATCACAGTACTATTCATGCATGAATTTATAGACTTAATTTGGCATGTATAATTTTTCTAGTGATTCTAATATTATAATCTATAATATATATATATATATATATGTATATGATAAGATAGGAGAGTAAATTATTGTAGCCAATGTATGGTTAGCTTGGCATAGGTAAGATATTTGTCTATCAACAAGCATGTGATTCATATACAATTCTTTGTCCGTGTATATATGCTCTAGACAGTACATTATATAATTTGTGGCTAATGTGTAGCGTCAGTTTATCTGGTATATATAATCTTATTGTACATTAGTTTATTCAACTTCTCGTAAATGTTTAATTCTAATTGTTATGTTTGGAAAAAATAATTGAACTTCATTTAAAAATGTACTCATAGTTTAATTAGTTAGGAGAAAGTGAAAATCTTATACAAACTCTAACTTAATTTGCAGGATCTGGAATATACACTGCATATTTTTTAATCTACTTAAACAGTTTTCCCCCCTACTTTTTGCCTACCCGAACTTCTGATGAAACTTGATCGGACTCTCGGGGAAGACTCACACACATTAAATGACTATGCAAGAGAAAGAGGAAGACTCTGCGTGGAGACTGGAAGCAGATGCGTCAAAGACAGAAAAAGAGAGGAATTTTGTCGTAGATGCCCTGGTTAGAGTTTATTTTTGTAATTTTTAATTCAAATTAAAACATATATTACATATATAATCGGATCAAATTTTAGATTAATTATTTCTACTCAGATCGATAGTGGTGGATCGCTTTAAAGCCAGAGTTACGGGATTTTTACTCTTTCAAACTATAAATATACTAAACATAGCTTATCTTCCATTCAGTTTACATTATATTCCACACAAAAAGCATGAGAATCATAAGACAGTTCATAGATTCATATGTTCTATACATATAAATGCTAAAATTTGAGTCAAACTCTTAGTAGAATATACAAATTATGTAATTCACTGTTCGAAATTATCATCAGAACTGTTACAAATCATCATATCTTGAATCCCCAAAACAAAATCATACCATCTGAATTTTAGGACCAAAATGTAAATTCCGGCAACAATTAGCTCGTGCTCGGTAATATGAAACAATCCATGCACCACAGCAAGTAAAATTTCACTATCCTTAAAGCTTACAGAAGTTCGAATCTCCTTCCAATCACCCACTCAATTCAACTTTGGAAAGCCACTTGTGCAAACTAGGACAAATCAATCGATTGAAATTTCCTTATACAGTGAGGAGTACAAATTTTTACACACTAAAAAAGGTAAGGTCCTAAAAATATCATAAAAATTTCGGATATTCCAAATGCTAACCCCGCGAAAACCAATTAAATCGATAATAAATTCTTTTGACAGAATAAGCTATGTTCTCTTCATCAAATAGCCAATCAGAACACCAAGGAGACCGATCAGTGCCACAAATAACAAAGAGAAACCACCAGCACGACTTTTGCTTATTCCTTTTCTCATTAGCTCCTGTTAACCAAAAGATGTACATACCATCACCAGAAACAAACATTAATGGGGCCACATATATATACTAGGCATCAACTGGAAAAGCAGAAGCCCATAAGTTACTAGGAAATGCATCATATTATAGTCAAAAGCACAATCAATATCAAAATCAAAATTCAATTTAATCCAAGGACACATCTAACTCCAATGTCACCTGCATGACACCTTAGTCTACAATATGCTTGGTTTCTAGGTCATGCATTAGTATTTACCTTAGAAGGTTAGAATTTGCTAACAAAGAGTTGTATAAAAGAAGGGATTTGGGGGCATGGGGAAAACTTGTGCTCCTAATCATAGACTATAAAGACTCCGACAAATAGGCCCATACCTAGTGATAATCCACCACATTATAAAAGCAACTGAAAACGAATTATTTTCCTTCTGAAATAAATTAATTACATGTCCTTTTAAAAAAAAATAATTAATCACATGCAGCTGCAGCAAGGCTTCAATGCTAGTACATATGCAGGATAAGACGATTAAAGGCTCAATGTTAATTGAAAGTTCAAGAATCATGACACAGTCAATGCATAAACATAACCACTTCAAAAGGAAGAAATATGAATTGTACCAGTTCCTCACGTAGCTTTTGATTTTGCTCAATGGCAGAAGTTTTCTCTTCAGTAAGCCTGGAAATCATAGACCATACCTGACAAAGAGAAGGTAAACTAAACATGAAATTTTGATTTATGGAAAATGAAAACATTATAAAAAAATCACATCATTAAGTCATGAAAGTCCCTTCAGGTAACAAATTTCACCTTCTCAAGAGGACAATCAACAGTCTAGAGAACAACTCATGTTTAATAATGGTCATATTAAAGTGTCATCTGTTGCAGTCTTCAAAATAAACTCCCACCAACTGCATTGTCTACTTGGAAACAGAAACCTTTAGCATGCACATTTTGTCTACACTGCATTTTGAGTTGGCAGCCACTCAAGTCCATTCAAAGCCAATACATTTGAACAAATGGGATGCAAGATGAGATCAAAACAGCTGAGGTAGGACATATTTCTCTCGTAGACAAAGACATGAAGCAATTTGTAACTTTAAAGACCATCCTATACCATCCTCCAAACGAAGCAGCAAATTCCTTCCCCGCAACACACTGGGAAGACAATTCAAATTTTATATTACAGTGTTTCTAGTAAATTTAGTACTGTCCCTTTTAAGTCCTCAACTCCTTGATTATATTAAAACTATCTGCTTAGAAATTATAATTCTTCTAAAATATAAAACTATTGTACTATTTAGTAGTCAATTGTTTTACTTTTAATAACTTTATAGTCTTATTCTCTTCAGAATCTAGTTTCCATTTATAATAGTAGTATTATTTAATCCTATTAGTACTACTATTTCTTAGACGAATCCTATATAAGGAATATTTAGAAGCACTATAAATACCTTTTTAACCTCATTTTTCTCACAGGCTTCAGTCATTCAATAAAAAATTTTGAGGATTTTTGCAATTTTTCTGGTTGTGATATTAATCAGAAATTTAATGTGCTACTTAAGACTTTTTATTTGTTAAGTTTTTGTCCCAAATTCCTAAGTAGGCAAATTAACCTTAATTTGTTTCTTTTTTTCTTTGTGGGGAGAGTGGATGTGACAAAGATACTTTCATTTACAGTTTCCTATTATTTAATTTAATATTGTATTGAATTTAACAAAATAACGAAATTCTCCCCTTTTTCCGACATATATGTATACAAGTACGTAGAAAAAAATTCGAACTGTATTTCTTGCTTCAAGCCATGAAAGTGAAATGAAAAGATATATTCTGTATTTTTACATTCA